CCCCCCCCTGCCATACCAGGCCACATGCCCTCAGCACTGTGAGGGTGCTTTTCCAGGGTCTCCCCCGGAAAAGCACCTTGTCCCCATGCTGATGGGGAGAAGTGTCTCTTTCCACAAGCCCTGTGGCGTTGGTTGTGGGGGTGCGGGCAGGGATGGGGGGGGGCTATTCACATTGGGGTACCCCTTTAATAAAGAGGTACCCATATGCACCCCCTCCCTTGCAAATGAGGGAAAATCATTTAATTGAAATAAAACAAAACAAAAAAAAAATTGATCCACCTACGTAATCCAGGGTCAATCACGACGTCCATTATTCTGAAAATTTTCGACAATTTTTAGATTCAGCTTTTCACAGATTGGTGACCCTCGGGCCATCTTTACTTCTGAGACACTCTGACTCTCTAAGTCTCTTTTTTTACCCAATCATGTTGCTGACCTGTTACCAATTAAAGGAGAACCATGAGGTGAGGTGCTTTTCACTCACCTCATAATCTGAGCCGACCTGTGACAATGAGACTGTCACAGGCCGGCTCAGTAGATCGGGAGGTGAGCGAACACATACCGGCGCTCGCTCACTTCTCGATCCTGTCACTGCAGAGAGCCGTGACGGGGGAGGGACTGGATACCCCCCTCCCCGCACCGATCCTCCAGCGCTGACTGACGGGAACGGACGGGGGAGGGGGCGGCTACAGCTGGCTCTGCCTCTAGATAGGCAGAGCCAGCTGTCACTCACGCAGCTGGGTGGATCCAGACAGTAATGTCGGGATCCGTTTCAGCTGCGGCGTCTCAGTATATAGGGAGCTGTAGCTCGCGGTATACTGAGCCTAGGGTGACGGGAGGATGCTAGTTTGTGTCCTCCCGTTACCTTTAGGAGAACTATGGGGAAAAGCCCTGACCCCGTAGTTCTCCTTTAACCTAATTAGTTGCCAAATGTTCTTCCAGCTCTTCCATGTTAGTACCACTTTCTTTGACAGCTTTTTGTTGCCCTGTCCCAACTTATTTGAGACCTGTTGCTGCCATTAATTTCAAAGTTACCTTATCTTTTTTTTTCCAAATGGTCCACGTTCTCAGTTTAAACATATGATATGTTTTCTAGTTCCTATTGTGAATAAAATCCGGGTTTATGAGATTTGCAAATTATTGCATTCTGTTTTTATGTAGATTTTACACAGCGTCCCAACTTTTTCCGGAGTTGGGGGTTGTATGAATATATATATAGTGAGGCACTGGCAGTATAGAGAGACATGGAGCCCAAGGAAAAGAGGGAATTGGGCGGAAGGTCAACATGACAGGGGGAGAAGGGGAACCAGAGTCACAAAGGGTTAAACAAATACAGAAAACAGGTAGTAGGGGTGGCTTACCGTTTTGAAGGAGGACCTTAGAGGGGTGGGATTTCAGGAGGAGGGTGGCACGTGGATACCAGGATCATTCCTGAGGAGAAGACACCGGGAGCAGACAAGGAATTTCCCGCCCTGAAGGAGGTTTTGTTTTGTTTGTATTGCTGTGTTTAATATGTACGTGGGGTTTGGGGTTCATCTTGTCATGGCGGTTTGGGGTCCTTGAAGGCGTTAGGGATTGCATTTGAGCATCAATCCATTTACTTACTATACTTTAGAAGAGATGCCAGCTTATCGTGGTGTTCAAAAATGAGGCAAATCTACTGTATTGTAGGAAATGTTACAATGTTTTTCCTCTAATCACCCCCATGATGGTTCACTGGTGAGATAGTTCCACCCACCGGCAGGAAATACAAGGTTTAGATAGTTTAAAAGGGCTCCCAAGAGCTAGTATCCTCAGTTCTTGTGTTTCCTGCCAGCTCCATACCATACCAGAACTTAATTCAGAGGTCTTTCATCTCATAAGCCACCCATGGGGCAACCCTGCAAAATGATCAATTTGCGATGACCCCATATAGAAAATCATTCTTCTCCTTGGGCCTTAGGGTGGTTCGAAAGGCTTGCATGCTCTCTCCCAATGGTGAGACTTCAAACTTGAAAATGCATTTCCACCAACCATTCTACTAGGAACGGTTATAAGGAAAGTCATCTCAGAACAATGCATATTATTCTAGGTAGCCCCCCTTTGGTTAAGGAGGGTATGGTTCTCTCTACTTCAACAAATGGCAGAGGACACTTCAATCATCCTTCCCTGCATTCATGCACTCTCGATAAAGGAACTGTCCCACACTCTGATGCAAGATATGGTAATACTTAGGACAGACCCAGCATTCCTCCCAAAAGTGGTAACTAGTTTCCACAAAAGTCAAAAAGTTGTACTACTCCCTTTTTGCCACAACTCTACTAACAGCAAAGAGACCAAATTCACCTATTTAGACATACACAGATACATTATCTAATACATCAAAAGCTCCGGGGACTTCAGATCCAGTGCCCTATTCATTCATTTCAGGCGACCTAACAAAAGCAAGAAAGCTTCAAAGTCCACCATGGCTCAGTGGATATGTACAGCCATACCCTACGCCTCTGCAGAGAAATCCTGCCCTTTCCATCTCAGAGCTTACTCCACAAGAGCTCTTTCAAGATCCCGGGTTGGGAAGGCCAGTCCCACTGCAGAGCTGATATTAGGTCACAGTATTAAGGGGGTCCCTCTGAAAATACACCTGTCATGTTCATGCTATGCATGTTTCACCTTGGTTTCTCACCTACACATTATGACGGGGCCCGGGTGGTTTATGACTGATATGGAGAAACAAACTTTTTTGATATCTCGTAAATTATAACAAGTCCTATTCTGGGCCCTGGAGCCCGGAGGCTTTGTAGAGCTTTGGGTGGGATAAAGCCCCCAATTCTAGGTCCACATCTTACCTGATAACCAGAACTCATTATTAGCCTCAGCTGTCCATAGGTCTTTATATATGTGAGCTGACTGATGCCCATAGTTCTCTCTCTCTGCTACTGGGTGAAAAGGCCGAGTGCTGACAGAACGCTATAAAGGTATAAGAGCTGCCGGATTGTTTTGGGGATCCCATTAGGAGCACACTGCTAGTCAGGAACTAACCTGAGATTAGTTAGTAGATGGGATGAGCAGATGTTTTGTTTGTATTATGCTATGGACAGTACACAGTCTCCCTCCATTGGAACTGCGATTGCTGCCTTGCTGAATACAAGTGCCGGACACACCTGCTTAGACCGTTTCTGTCTCATGCATGGTTTGCCGCTGCCAATACCAGATGAACCTGTCCCCCTTACAACATATATGTTCAGGGTAATTTCAGCTATGTGGTACAAGGTGATTTTGGACTCGAGGAAAACCTAATACCCCCTTACACTGTACATTATGCTTTATAGATAATAACTTTCAGAGCATTGAGTGATTTTCTCATCTACACTTTCTTTATATTTTTTTCCCAGGTGGAGAATGAAGCTGAAGGTGAGGTCTCTCTGCAGTACAAGTTTAAAGATGAAGTTGTAAAGAACGACATTCGTTTCCCGCTGAACGTGCAGAGTGCAGAAAGGTCAATATTAAGTATTGAAACATTAGACATCAGCAGCAAACCTTTTTCCAAGTTTTCATTAGGGTCGCAATCCGCAGATTGGTAAAGCTCTGATCTCCTTATGCACTGTCTACATTCCTTATCAACCACCCACAGACTGGCTGAGCTTTGGTCTTCTCATGCACTGTCTATCCTCTCTCCCCCTCCATCCACAAACTAGCACAGCTCTGGTCTCATCATTCATGGTCTATAATTTTTCAAGTCCACCATCCACAGACTGGCTGAGCTTTTGTCTTCTTTTGCACTGTTTATCTTCCATAACTTGCAATCCATAGACCGACAGAGCACTGGTCTCCACATGCACTGTCCATCTTCTTTCAGGCCCGCTATCCACAGACTGTCAGAGCTCTGAATGTTTCATTGCATTGTCTATCTTCTCTCACCCACCATCCACAGACTGTCAGAGCTCTGGTCTCCTCATGCATTGTCTATCTTCTCTCACCCACCATACACAGACTGGCGAAGCTTTGGTCTTCTCAAGCATTGTCTATCTTCTCTCACCCACCATACACAGACTGGCAAAGCTTTGGTCTTCTCAAGCATTGTCTATCTTCTCTCACCCACTATCCACAGACTGGCGAAGCTTTGGTCTTCTCAAGCATTGTCTATCTTCTCTCACCCACTATCCACAGACTGGCAAAGCTTTGGTCTTCTCATGCATTGTCTATCTTCTCTCACCCACCATACACAGACCGGCGAAGCTTTGGTCTTCTCAAGCATTGTCTATCTTCTCTCACCCACTATCCACAGACTGGCAAAGCTTTGGTCTTCTCGTGCACTGTCTATCTTCTTGCACTTGCAATCCATAGACTGACAGAACACCGGTCTGCTCGTGCATTGTCTATCTTCTTTCAGGCCAACCAGCCGCAGACTGTCAGAGCTCTGGACTTCTTATTTATTGTCCATATTCTTTCACCCACCATACACAGACTGGCTGAGCTCTGGTATCCTCATGCATTGTCTGTCTTCTCTTGCACATCATCTACAGGCTGTTAGAGCTCTGGTCTCCTCATGCATTGTCTATCCTCTCCCTCCCACCATCCAAAGACTAGCACAGCTCTGGTCTCATCATATACTATCTATCCTCTCTCAGGTCCACCATCCACATACTGGCTGAGCTTTGGTCTTCTCGTGCACTGTCTATCTTCTTGCACTCGCAATCCATAGGCTGACAGAACACTGGTCTCCTCACGCTTTGTCTATCTTCTTTCAGGCCCACCATCCACAGACTGGCAGCCAAAGCTCTGATCTCTGAGCTGGAACATGGAACAGAGTCACAGTCTGAAGAGGTGAAGAAGAAGATCCTGGAGACCAGCCTGCAGTCTGGTGTTGTCTCCTCTCTCACAGCCTATGTAGCCGTCAACAAGGACACCAAGACACGTGTGGAGGGTTTTCCTGTGCGTATGGAAGTCCCAGCTCCAGGTATGGATTTTTCACATTGGAATACAGCAGATCCTCAGCTCTGCTATACAGGAGGACATAACTGCATGCCCCGTCATGGGGAAGGCTACAAGTAGTTGCCTCATTAGCTGTGACTATGGCAGATCTTTGTAATTACAATCACCCAAAGAATATCGTTACTGAAAAACGATATCATGTATCAGTATAAAACCATGTCATGGAGTTTTGGGCTGTCAGCAGAAGATAAACTCCATTCTAAGGAATCTGTCCATTTATCTAAGTTATTTATACTTTTCTATGGGGACAGAACATATCCCAGGATTATAATTTCAGATACTGTTAATGCCGATACTGACAGTTTATTTATATCAGCCTGGGCGACAACAATGAAACTTAATCCTCCTGTCCCATCGCACTCCTGACCAGACAAAAACCCAAATCTAACTGGGTGGGTGCGGTGGTGACAACGGATGCCTCCGTGAAATGTAGATAGATGAAAGTAGTCACTCGCACTCCATGATATTAAAGTAAATGCTGTTTATTGACTGAGATAACACACATCTCCTTAGCGACGAACCTCTGTTTGCCTGAGGACGGGGCCGCATGGTCTCGAAACGTCGATAGGGAGATGTGTGTTACCTCAGTCAATAAACAGCATTGACTTTAATATCAAGGAGTGCGAGTGACTACTTTCATCTATCTGGGTGACAACAATGACTTCCCATAGAGGAGAAAATGAGTGTAGCCACCCAGGGACAAGAAATGTGTGGTAGTTATTTGTCAGGATTACTAGGTAAAATAAAGGGCAAAGATTCAATGAGAAAAATGAATCTGAATGCATCCATCACATCTAAGAACTGGCGAGCTGCAATATATAACATTATTGTTATCGGGTTTAGATACACGCTAAATTCTTCCGGCCCTGATAATGGCAGTGTCATCTCACGATGAGACACCCACCAGTATTCTGTAGAGGCTGTATAATGGATCCTATCACACATCATCTCTCTTGTCTTACAGCATTCATGATGATGAACTCACGATCCCATACGCCTAGAATGATGGCTTGTAGTGCTGCTCCCATGGCAAGCTCCTTGGGAAGAGTGACTTTACGTTCTTCTCCTATGTTAGGACACAAGGAAATTATGTCCAAATCTAGTAAGTGCCATAGTACCTTGTGGTTGTTGCTTTTGCTGTGCTGTCGCTTTAGAAAACTCAAGACAAAAAAAATTATTTCTCATCCACTAAGAGACACAGGAATTCAGATACTGTCTGGTAATACTGCCGCCTACAGGAGGACTGCAGACTTGCTCTTTTGATAAAAGTCTAACCACTTTTTTTTCTAGCTTTTATACTTTAGAGTCTCAGATATTGTTTTTTCCTTTTCCTACAGTCAAGGTTCCTCAACACATCACTTCTTGAACTGGTATTGGGATCATTCTTTTCTCTGCTTGACTTTTAAGTACCATACCGAGACCCCGTTGGACCAGATGTTTGCAGGGCTAGCCTGGAATGTGGCACTGGGTTCTGATTGTGGTGCTTTCCAGACAACATGTACTGGTAAAAGTTAGCCATAGAGCGAGCCGTGGCATTGCCTCAGTGCTTGCCGTGTCACTGAAGACTCACTTTGTTGGGTAGGCTGATTAGCGTGATCACTGGGAGCTACCGCTCTATTTTCACCCCTTGGCGCTTTTCAAATGTCCTACTACTGACAGTTTTGCTGCAGAAAGGCTCAATGCTGAAGGACTGATCGCTGATGTCATCTGTTGGGTGGAGTGTCACGTGCCTTTTGCACTCTCTTTCCATTTAACATCATCAGGAGGCATCATTCTGCTTCTGATCCTGCTGGCACCATGTGGAACTCCGATCTCTGGTCTGATCCAACTGACCACTTACAGTACCTGGTTGCCTGGATTTGTAAGCACCTGAGGCCTTGCCTCACCGTTTGCGCCAAGTTGCATCACTACCATGTGGTCAAGTATTTCAGCATATAGACACAGATGGTACAGTCCTTCTGCTACGGGTGACTCCAGCCCATACTTTCCTAAGATTTTTGGGGGCATCTATGCAGTATCCTGACCCTGTAGTGACCCTGTAGTGACCGTGTAGTTATACCGTGTACATCATAGGAATCTCCTTCAGCTCCATCTGGCGAGGGAAAGTTCCACATACTGTCATCAGGGACATCTACCGGGGTCACTCAAGAATTTGTGTCCAAATTCACCTAACTTCTCTCAGTACAGTGCGGGCTCTGCAGGAGGCGGGGCATCTCGTCATATTTGCCATCAAATGTTATATTTTCCAGAGTCCGGTCCCCCTGTAGGTGGAAGTATAACTTGACAGTATTTAAATTCCTGTGTCTCTCAATAGACTCCAAGAGAAGGATTTGACTGACTGAAAAAAAAAATCATATTTGATATATTCTAGGAAAGGTATTCCCATTTTGTTGGGTTGGGCCGATGGTTGGCTTGACATTTTAGTTTGCAGATTGTGGGAGACAGAGGCAACAGAGGGAACACTTGTAGAGAGGAGGAGCGGTTTGCACTAATGGAGCGAATTAGGTGTTTATAATGGTGGAGTGATGATTGCCAGGGATGGTGAGGCAAGGAGCATTGAGTCTGATGCCTCCTCTCTCCCCAATGCAGACCTCAGATCAGCACAGCTGCTAACAAAGAGCCAGTGACTAAGTGTTGTCAGCCTGGAACAGGAAGTGCTGTTACTGGCAGGATCTCCAGTTAAGAAAATTTGCAACAGATTCTCAAAAATGTTTTGCTTACGAAAACTGTACACAGTGAGACGTGACGCCCAACATGCTGAAACATAGAATTTGGGTTTACAGATACATTATGGGATTTTCCTTCTTGACGTTTATGACGTTTTTCTTTTATGTACAGAGTTATCGCCACGAAAGATGGCTAAGAAAAAATCATCACGAAGTATGTGATTGTACTCTCTGGGGGGGAGGGGGCTTCCATCGCGCGGTTGCGGACCTTTGGTCCCAGGGGGTGATTGTGCCTGTTCCCTCCGCGGAAAGATTCCAAGGTTTTTATCAAACCTGTTTGCTGTGCCCAAGAACGAGGGGGTGCGGCCCATCCTGGACCTAAAACGCTTGAACACCTTCGTGCGGGTCCGTCGGTTCCGGATGGAATCCATCTGGTCCGTGGTGGCATGGCTCCATCAGGGGATTCTGCTGGCCTCCATCGATATACGGGATGCATACCTTCATATACCCATTTGCGAGTCTCTTACACTGACTGACACCCAGACAACTTAGCTGAATTATCTTCTAACTACAGCTTACAGCATTGAAGGGAATCTGGGCACAACCCCCAAACTGTGTTGAATTTCCACCCTTGATAGACCCGGTTATTGTGACAAATATAAATAATATATATCTGGACCAATCCTTACTTGTTGGCTCCACCGGGCAACAGAGAGCTGCCACACTATAGCAATCGTGTGATCTCTTTAGCATCTTCACCAAGCTTGGAGTCCAGTCATTGCTGGCTGTGTCTCCTCTTGGATCCCCCTTCCACCCTTCTTTCTATTTGTCCTGTGAGCAGTGTAACCGAGAAAGTGATGTTGATGGAAACCCGAAATTTTACAGCTGTCAGTAAACTAACCATTGAGTAGGAAATCTATGAATGGGGACACCGCAACGACCATCTAAAAGGGGAATTACACTTCTTGATATTTATGACATTTCTCTTTTATGTACAGCATCAGCACCACAAATGATGACAAAAAAAAAATCATCACCAGGTATGTGATTTTACACTCTAGGGGGGGGTGGCGGAGGGGGTAGTCACATGTTCTTGAATTTGTGTTATGTTCCGGACCTGAAAGACTTCACCGGCTGAATTTCAAGAATTTCTGCCTGGGCTGATTCTGATTTATAAATTGAACCTGTTGCTTTCCAATGCAGGGAAAGACAACAAGTTCATTTAAAGTATATCTAGCGCCATTTTGTTTTAGTTTTGGATAGAGCGGGAGAGGAGCAGAAAACTCCTGTCAGATGTTTATTGCGTGTATGGAGTGAAAGGAAGAGAATGCCGAGTCATAAAAAAGGGTCTATGAGGAATTGACAGCCAACACATTTCGGTGGTTTTGCACAGATTCCCCTTCATCAGGTCTTAGATTTATTGTGTAAGAGGAAACATGACGGGTGGTGAATGGCGGGCTTTAATTCTACGTAAGCTGTAGTTAGAAGCTCGCTCAGCTACACTGACTGACACCCAGACAACTTAGCTGAATGATCTTGTTTTTTTTGCAATAATATATTGTTTATTAATTTTCACAAACAAGAAATTAAAACAACATACAAAGGTAGCGTCAGGTGTACATTCTTAAGAATAACAGCATAGCTGTAAGTAATAACAACCGTAACAGCAGGGTATATGATATTGTGCCCAGATTCGAGCCTTGCCTCTGCCCAAATTCCCGTCCCTGCCATGAGGGTCTCCGAACTTTAAGGCCTCCCCCCCCCCTGAGGGGGATCGATGCGATTGAGGCAGGCGAGGACCTGGGTTTTCAGCGTCAGGCTAAAACAAGAGATCCTGCGAAAGCCCTGCTTCCCTAACCATCCGGTAAGTTACCTCACCTAGAGCCACCTTACAAAAACAACATAATGATGGACTCACAACACGACAAGACAATCGGACAACAGAGGGACACAAAGACAAAGAAAGACAAAGGGGGGAGAGAGAAGGGAAAAGAAGGAAGGGGGGGGGGGGTGGAGGAATTATTACGTGGTCAAGGAGAGCAGAACATGCATTTATGCCATTGCCCTAAACTCATCCGTTTCCATAAACATTATCCAAGGCCTCCATCTGGACAGGAAGGACTCAGACCTGTCAAGCCGCTCAGCTATCAGCTCCTCAGATCTTATTAGACGGCACATTTCCATGGTCCATTCCCCCAAGGTTGGAAGCACCTGAGAGTTCCAATGTCTTGGGATCAGTGCCCTAGCGGCATTTACAAAAAATCGCAAGAGGGACTTCTTTGCCCGGGAGATGGAACCCGGAAAAACCGACAGTATTGCCATTTGAGGCGTGAGATGGAGATCACTGGCAGACATTCTCGAGTACACATGTGAGATGGTACGCCAAAAGGGGGCTATCGGGGCAGCTCCACCAGATGTGAGACAATGTACCAACATCCGTTTGGCACCTCCAGCAAGTGTCCGGTAGAGAGTGAAAAATCTGGTGCATCCTAGCCGGAGCTCTGTACCATCTAGTCAAGAGTTTGTAATTGCGTTCCTGCACCGCAGAGGACATGCAGAGAGTATGGGTGAAGCAGAAACATTTCCGCATTTCCTCCTCGGAGAGGACCACACCCAATTCCCGCTCCCACGCAGAGATGAAGTACGGGGGTCCCCCTCCATCCCTAGAAAGGAAGGAAATCATATAAAAACGATATAAGATGGGGTGGGGATTCGCCTGTTGTACATAGTCAGAGGTCCTTGCATGGAGCCGTATGAGGAAAGTTTACGTACAAAGTGTTGGAGTTGGTTGTAGGCAAACCATGCACTGAGCGGTGCAGGATCAGGGCCACGGATTGAAGGGTTTTCCCACATAGTCCCTGAAAGATGTATGAAGGAGTCGTCGCTTCCCAACTCAGGAACCTACGGACCACCGGGCAACAGAGAGCTGCCACACTATAGCAATCGTGTGATCTCTTTAGCATCTTCACCAAGCTTGGAGTCCAGTCATTGCTGGCTGTGTCTCCTCTTGGATCCCCCCCTCACACACACACACCTCTTTTTATTTGTCCTGTGAGCAGTGTCACCGAGAAAGTGATGGAAAACCCAAAATGTTACCGTTGTCAGTGAAATAATCGTTGAGAGGAAATCTATGAATGGGGACACAGCAACGACCATCTAAGACGGGAATTCCGCTTACTTCCACTTACTGTAGACAGATTTATCTCACTTTGCGCTGAGCCTAAAAAAAACTAGGAAAGACCTATGAACGCTCGGGGTCTGGAGTACAGAGTCTTCCTTACCTATTTACACCCAAAGCCATTACTGTTTAGGACTACAACTGACCCTCCAGCATATAACAATGTAATTATTCCCAATACAGCTAACATACTGCAATGGTAGATCCCTATAAAACCCAATATCTCCCTTCCCCACAAGAAATCACAATGCCATTTTATTACCAAACGACTTACTTTCTAAAAGACTGCCCCGGGTACATTGCCCCCCATAAATGAAATACCCTGCCGTATAGAACCACAATTGTTTTGAATAGACCATATTGGGAAACTGACAAAGAATAAACAGGTGTGTTCACCCTTCTCTATATTATCCAAAAACATTGGCTATATCGGCTTTTTATTGCCTTCCTTTCCTTCACTCACCTGCCACTGCATTCACCTGCTCAGGAATGACTTAAAGCCCCGTGGTGAGCTTGCCCTACACAAGGATTTTTGTCTTTGCACCATCAAGTAAATGAAGAGCAGACAGTGTGGGGATTGGGGGGGTAGGCAAACAAGTCCACTTGTAGGTTTGCTCTGCATGGACAGGTTCACTCTAAGGGTTTGTGTTGTTGGGAAAAATTCAGCGTCCTGATGTTCAGACATCAAAGTCTCTTTGTAGACAACGTCCTTATGCATGACCTAGAATCACCCCGATCTTAAATGAAACCTAAGATAAGGGAAATACGGGGTTCCTGACCACTCAGAACGTATCCACACCACTACAGGCTTACGAGCACGCTAGAAAACCCATCGAAAATCATCCGATTTTCGGCGGGTTGGTAGCGCGATCGCAAGACGAAAGCCGCACGGGCCGGTGTGCGGAAGCGCACACTGCCCGCTGAGCATTGCAATCACCTGGTGAGACCCTGCACATGCTCCTGACACCCCACACAGCCCTGGTGAAACCACGCACATCCTCCTGAGACCCCATACAGCCCTGGCGAAAACCCCATACAGCCTCCTGAGACCTCACACAGCCCTGGTCAGACCCTGTACAGTCTCCTGAGACCCCGCACAGCCCTGGAGAGCAACACAGAGAATGTCGCTTCATATTGTCCTGCATTGCTGTATAATGTATTGCTGTGCCTTGTAGTCCTTAGCTGATAGTATTCTGCATTGCTGTATAATGTATTGCTGTGATTTGTAGTCCTCCTCTAGATGGTGTTATTCTGCATTGTTGTATAATGTGTTGCTAAGATTTGTAATTCCTCTACAGCTTGGAGTCAGTGGCAGAACTACCAGGGTCATAGCAGTTGCAGTTGGGACCGGGCCCATTCACAGAGATGCAGACTAGGCTGCCTGTTAGACACATAACCACTAGAGACAGGACCTACTTATCTGTATGTGAAATGCAGAGATGGAAATATAGAACGGCAAGCATGGAAAAATCTAGAAACACTGTATAGTTTCACTTTAAAATCTTGCTTTACCTACCTTCAGGGATGCGCACTGAGATACAGTTCAACTGACCTTGTGAGGTTACCAAAAAATAAAATGAAAGTCCGCGGTGAAAGAAGACGCATTCTTCCTCTTATCACCTTTCCAGCAGCTGGTGTCTCTTATTTTGCCTCTATTCCAGCGTTGCAGCCTCCATCAGAATCTTCAGCATTCTTCACTTCCTGGTGTGTCGGATATCCGTGTCCCCTGCCACCAATGTGGTTCCTTCCTTTCATCCCTACATCATCCCTACATCACTGCTATATCCTGTAGTTTACTCAGAGTGGGAGTTGCTAGTCCTCACCTGTCTTTCTTTTTTCCTTTTAGCATTGTGTGATGATAATGAGGAGTTTTGTGGCAACATGTCCATGAATTTGGCATGTAAGAGCAGTCATGTTTGTTTTCAAATCACAATATTTATTTACAGTGAGTTTGGTGCAAAACAAAATAACAGTTACCTGTCCCAGTACTTGTGCCTTGGTTTGCCGAGCTACAGTGGTTGTGTCAGATGCATGCCCCCTCCCTTTCCTGTACATTGTGGTTCCACTTGCCAATTGCTATGCCACTACATCTCCGCCGGCGAGTGGAAGTACAGTGCAGAGTGGGTGAAGGAGACATCCAACACAGCTGAAAGTGCTGGATGCTGAACATACAGGTGAAACTCGAATAATTAGAATATCATGCAAAAGGGGCCCAAACCAAGTACTGAGTACATATGCATGCTTGTACTTTCCAGAGGTCCGATATTGTTCTATGTACAATCCTTGTTTTATTGATTGCATGTAATAATCTACTTTTTTGAGGTTGTGGATTTGGGGTTTTCATGAGCTGTAAGCCATAATCATCACAATGATGACAAATCACGGCTTGAATTATCTTGCTTTGCATGTAATGAGTCTCTCTCATATATTAGTTTCACCTTTTAAGTTGCATTAGTGAAATAAATGAACTTTGCACGATATTCTAATTATTCGAGTTTCACCTGTACATGTAAACCCTTAAATCTGTTGTCCATCATGCTTGGAATTATGTCTCACTGTATACTTTTCGCTCTGTCTAGTGAGGGACACAGGAGGTCTTTAACCTTTGGGTTACTCTGCCGCCTACAGCCCAGGACAACCCCTCCCACTACCAGCATGACTCCATTTTTTGTGTGTCCCAGCAACCCCATTTTGGTAAAGGTTGCCCACAGAGCACTTTTCAAGCCCATAACCGCTGGCATTGCTTCTATGCTTACTCTGTCTCTAAAAACTCATTTTATGAGTAGGCTGGTCAGGCTGAACATTCGGAGCTACCTCAATTATATAGGTCACTGGGCTCCTGTCAAAGAGGTTAATGCTATGGGACTGAGCGTTGATTCCATCCGCTGGGTGGGGTGTCATATGTATACTCTCTGCGCTCTATTTCCTGCAATACAGTGACAAGGAAGCATCTCCACGATGTTCCGGCTTACAAAGAGCCACGTGGAACATTAATCTTTGATCCATTCCTACTGCCCGCCTACAGTGACTTTGGTCACCTCTATCAGCAAAACAGCAGAATTTGTTAAATGTTCAAGAGCAGCTGTTGTTAAAGTGTTTAAAGACTGATGGGGTGGTCATAATAATCTGGCCACTCAGTGTATATCCCCAATCTATATATGCCCCTATGCGTCTCCCTTCATGACTCTGATCTTTTCTAGCCACTGTAGGCTTCTCATTCAATTATTTCTTGGTGACTTAGGCGGGCTGTCATGCAAGCTTAGGGTTTCAGCAGTTGGGTTCCGCCATTTCCTGTCAAGGTGCACGCTGCTAGATTTATGAGCTCTTCCTAGGTTTTTCAGCAACAAGCAAGGCTGCCATCTTGTCTTCTGTTTACATGTTCTCTAAGTGGACCAGGTGAGCGTTGTGTCCTCATCTGATACCATCGTACGGGATTAGGGTTCTTCAGGGGGCTATTTGGCTCTGCAGTTTTCTCAGGCCCGATAGTGTTTGTTTGGTGTGCTGCCCACCCCTCAGTTGGACAGCTTTTTGACATCCAGTGTCCCTCATTGAACAAGATAGAAATATAATTTTTGTTCCCGTCATCCATTGAAGGACGCAGGCCCCACCCTTCTGTGTTTTGTGATCATGCTCTCAGTGCTGTTTTCATACAAAATTGAGGTATGCTGCTAGAAGGAGGGGTTTTCCTGGGCTGGCCTACAGATTTATTGTTTGCCAGTGTCCATTCTTCCTGTAGGCAGCGTTATAACTCAAAGGTTAAAGGAGAGCTATGGGGTCAGTGTTTTCCCCATAGTTCTCCTAAGGGTCACGGGAGGACACAAACTAGCGACCTCCCGTGACCCAAAGCTCAGTATACCGCGAGCTACAGTTCGCGGTATACTAAACCGCCGCAGCCGGGACGGATCCTGACATTACTGAGTGACAGCTGGCTCTGCCTATCTAGAGGCAGAGCCAGCTGTACCCACCCCCTCCCCCGTCCGTTCCTCCAGTCAGCACTGGAGGATCGGACAGGGGAGGAGGGGGGAATCCCTGCAGGGAGCCGTGAGTGACAGTCATGGCTCTCTGCAGAGACAGGCTCGAGAAGTGAGTGAGCGACGGTATGTGTTCTTTCACTTCCCGATCTATTGAGCCGGCCTGTGACTGTTTCATTGTCACACGTCGGCTAGAACTATGAGGGGAGTGAAAATCACTCCCCTCATAGTTCTCCTTCAAAGACTTCCCTTGTCCTTCAATGGATTCAAAGAAAAGGATTTTATGGCAGAGTACACAAATCATATTTTCTTAGGCAATTCATTACCTCTGTAACTATTGCAAATGTCTTACCTGTAGATCCTGCCAATAACAGAACTTCCCATGTCATGTTGGCAGAGATAAGCCACTGCCTTGCAATTAACAGCAGCTTCGTTAGCCTGCCATGCATGTGCCCTCAGTTGGCACGTCGGTTGCCTGTCAGGGGTAGCCAAACGCTGCTCCTCCAGCTATGGTGAAACTACAAATCCCATGATGCATTGCAACATTCTCACAGCCACGACTCCCGGACACAGATGCATCATGGGATTTGTAGTTTCACCACAGCTGGAGGACCAGCGTTTGGCTACCCCTGGCCTATATGATAGACCTGATAGACTGATAACTTATAACCCTATTAATCGGTCTCTTAGTCATTGCCCTGCAATCAGCAGGAAATTTTGTAGCTCTCATTAGAAGAATACCTGGTGATCCTGCCATGAATGTTTGGTTCAGTCACTTCCTTTTATAGGGTGACAACTGGCTTTCAGGACTGTCTCCCAATAGTGTCACAGTTCTGCACATGCTCCCCTGTTGAGGCGAGCCATTATGCAGGCATGGTCCACCATTGTGTTTGAATACACATTACTGTATCTATAGCAACAACTCCTGCAGTATACAATTTCGGTCACTAGATGGCAGTGTGTTTATAAGTTCTGTTATATCTATGGTAGTTACTCTGTTGTATTGAAAAAGGTAGAGAATAAAGCTGTGGCTTCCTTCCTGTATTAGCCGCGCCATGAGGAGCATGCATATCAGACTGTGTGCTTGTGTTTCTCTGTGAGGCTGTGCAAGAAGTTCCAACACATTGTCACTATCATGGCCTGCCATTATTTTGGCCTGCAATCCCCTGCATAGAATGGCTGGCACTGGGAGAGGCCGACACAGAACAGTGAACCAATCAGGCTGCACTACTTTATACAGAGCTGGCACTCTAACACAGAAAACAGGAGAGGAGAGCAGAAGGAAAACTTCCTTATTGTTCTGCTACTCCTTTACTGTCCAGTCATAGGCTATGGTGCATCCTGGACCAGGCTGTGTTTGTTGCTTCAAAGCAGTGTCGTTTGGAGTACACTATATACAGGGTGCAGATTCACTTTGTGTATTCAGTGTGACGTATGTCATCCATCCTCAACAGTTTTATTAAAAATATTTGTCTTCTTATCTTTTACATTTGTTCATTTAATGATTATAATTTTTTTAGGTGGCTCACTATCGCCATCACCCCCCACTCCCTCAGTGGGGACCCTGGCTCTCGTGAGGCTGATCTCCCTGGAGAACGCGGATGGATCCTGGAACCTGACTCCCGAATTCTCTGCTGTCCTGGGAATATATGAGACCAACATAAAGGCCAGGAACCCCAACCAGGTATCATGTCAATGACCACACCGAATCACAGGGTAATGGGGATTGTACACTAAGAGGGGCTTTTTATAACTGGTCAGTATTGCTGTCTTCTTATGAAAAGTGGTCATTACTTTTTAAGTCACTCAAGAATATCTTAGTTACAGATTTGTGTCCTAACTGGAGGCGGAAGACGTGTTTGGTGGTTGCCTTGTTGCCTCCTTGTCACCTGAACCCAGATCGATCACTGTGTTCAGTTCTGGGTGATCAGAGCCAGAGGTCTTGCTGCACTCCTTACCGGAATATCCAAGTGACCCGTGTGGGGGGTGTCACCAGCACACCATAGTAGTAGTAAAGCAATAGTCCATTTAATGACACATTGCCATTCAATACATCTGCAGTTCTGGGTGATGTCTGGCCCGAGAGTTGTACAGGAATCCAGAACCCAGAATTATAGAGATAAGTAACATTTCAGGTCCTGTATAATAAACTCGTCCTTCCCTCCTCTACAGAACGTGGAGGTGTCGGTGTGGGTGACGGTTCTGGCGGTAATCTGGCTTCACGCCACCAATCTGGATCAGAGAGAGGAGTGGGAGTTGCTGGAGGGGAAGGCCGTCTCCTGGGTCAGGGCCAGAGCAGGTAAGTTCTGAGACAAAGGGCTGATCACAAACCCGCACTGACCAATCAAAATCCATCTCCTAATGATATCACCCCAATACAGAAAAGTCTGACTGGCTTCTACAATGACATCACTTTGAACATTGTGCTGGGGTTAGTTAATAATACTGTAAGTGTTTTCCTCTCTACTGAATGGATTCTGTTCCTTCAATCACCACGCAGGCCGGGAGCACTCATTTTTAATAGTGCAGTCATGACACCAAACTCACTAACAATGCATTGCTAAGAGTAGCCACACATTCAGAACAAATGGCTCCCTATGGAGTGCCGTACACAAGTATCATGTATGATACTCTCTTGAGTGGAAAGGAAGTTTATTGGACCTTCATATTAGAGACCAGAATTCCTAGAGGGATGAACGTTGAGTGAGATGTTGGTCTTTGCTGTGAATAAGCTTCCTTCTATCAAACACACTGGAAATCCCGGATGTTGTTGGATGTGATGGGCAGATGGAAGGCAGCGCTCACTACATAATTATTTGTTGAAGTAAGCTTTGATTGTATTATAAACAACTCTAGTATGCAGAGTCCATTGCCTCATAGCTGGATTGTGGAACCTGTGCTGGTCTATGGGGGGGTGGGGGGTCAACATTTGCACATGTTAAACAATCAGATTGTGAATTCATCACTCGGTACACGGCGCCCGGGAATAGATCAAAGTGACATTTATTGTGTCCTCAGGTTCCTCTCTGGGTGAGTTTGTCAGAGCCGGGAATGAGCTGCTGAAATCCTCCGTGAACCCCAAAGTGTTCGGCCTGTAAGGGGAGACCTCCGGAGGAACCAAGATGGAGGAAGTCTTTTGCCGATGGATTCCGGAATGTTGCTGCTTCTATTTTTTGCTTAACCAGCATTGTGCCTTTGTACTGCGCTCCTCTATATGAGAGCCAAACCAAAGTTAGATGTCCCAAGTTTACTATTTTGGGGAATAATACCTGTTTGCACTGTTTACATGTCATTGTTCTTTTCTATTCTGTGTAATTTGCAATGTTCAGAGTCAGATAGAAATACTTTGTTTTGGTAATGTTTAAAGGAATAAACAATTTTGTGTCTACATTATCTGTAGGGGGGGGGGCTCTTTTAACTGAAATATGCACTTACCGCTGACCTCTTAGTGTTGTAATGGAGGTCCAGTTCTTCCATGCTCCTCAGTCTTCCTATTAGTCAGAGATGTGTCCTTGTCCTGCTGAGTGAGATCTTCCACATATAACACTGCTCATAGAGAGCCAGTATACCTGTATGGGTGAGGTGCCATTCCAGATTGTACCCGCAGGGGGCGCTGAGAGTGAAATGTGAAATAACTCCTCCCAGTTTCAGTACGATGGAGGACTCAGACTTTTTAGAAGTTGCTCTGTGTTGTAGTTTAGTGTGAGAACCCTTTTAATTACTGATCTGTCATTAGGGGAACACAAACATTACCCCACACTCGGGAAATACATATCAAAAGAGGAAATAACATCTTACTGGTAGGTGGGAGCCTCCGCTCTATATAGTGAACATCTACTCTGCATGGGCGGTGTGAAGTGATAAGATCCCCTACAGGCTCCACAAGGAGATTGTTCTTCACTCCCCTTTCCCTCAATACAGCACAGGAGATTGTTTGTTTTTTATAAGCCTTTATTTTATTTATTGGTTTATTCTGTATTGATATTACAAAGTTATTTTTGTTAAATTTTATAGGAATTGAATATTTTAACAATAAACAGAGTTTATGCTGAAAACATACAATGTCTGCGAGTCCGTCCGTACAAATGTGGCCATTCCAAGTACAATGCTACAATGTCCTTTTATCAGCTTCCTGAAAACAAACTGATCTGTAATACCAGGGTGAGCGATATGTTGAGTTGGGACAGCCGGACGATGAGCGTGTACACTCCATAAAGGTATAATCTTCTATGAGCGGCCTCCGGTCACAGGACTACACAGTTGGGAGCAGGGCCGGATTTTCCCACAAGGCCAACCGGGGCCTGGCTATGGGGCAGCAGGGAGTAGAGGGGCAGCAGGGGTGTGGAATTTCTATCTCCCGATGCCCGGGACATGCAGTTTTGGTCGCTAGAAGTGCGTCTTATGGAGCGAAAAATACGGTATTTACTTTTTTATTTATTATTATTTTCTTTTTTATTCTTTTTACTAATAATTTTTTAATCCATTTTTCCAGCACAGCGCTGAGCTGGAACTCCTGCGACAGCTGGGAGGGGAAGGCTGCGAGTGCGAGGGTTAAATGTAGAGCGGGGGAGCCGCCTCGTTCGTTTACAAGTGATCTTGGCGATGTCGCCAAGATCACATGTAATAAGGCTGGGGGTACGCCCCCCCACCCCTGTCATGTATGATCGTTAACACGTGTCGGGTTCGCCTACATACGAAAATGACAATCGCGCTACACATGTTGGGTATCACCATAGTACCAGAGTAAGAGCAATAATTCCCGGGCCAATAATCATAGATACCTCTATACTCATCACCTCTACGGCCTTTTCAAGCGTCGCCTATGGACAATTTAGGGTGCAGTATCTTGTCGCTGTTTTTACGGACGGGCGCAATTTTTAACCTGGGCTTGTTGGCTATCTCCTTATCGTAACAATGGGTTTTCTTTTGTCTTTTTGGCCACTAGAATTATTTTAAGTGCATTTTTTTTTGTTGTAAATGTTTGTGTTTGATAAAGAGTTGCGCCAATGTCGGGGACTAGGACACCTCCAGGTGGCACCGTGGAGCTGGAGCAGATCCTGCAGTTCCGGTGCTCACCTGCAGGTGTCTCTGGGCAGGCAGTGGCTGTCTGGGACTTGAGCACCTCCAGGTGGCGCTGTGACGCTGGAACCAGGACCTGCAGCTCCAGGGCTCACCTGCAGGTGGCTCTGTAATTAAGCATCACCTTGTGTTACCTGGGAGGGTATTAAATCCCACCCTGCAGTGAGCCTGGTGCCACAGTATTGTCGCGCTAACCTGAGTCCTGTAGACTCTTTGGACCCTGACTCCTTCCCTCCTGTGGCCCTGCTCCCCTGGTTGACTTGCCCTGTTGTACTCTGGTGTTGGTGGGGATGTTGGCGTTTATATGATTTTGTATGTCTATTAAACTATAAGTTCATAAGCCTTGTCTGGTGTGGTCGAGTATTTGGTCCTCCCGTATAGATACCTGCACACGATGTGGGGCACCTGGGCACGGTATCCTGACAGCCAATATCGTGAGTAGGGATGAGCCGAGTGTTCCAATCGAACATCGGCAGTTCGAGCGTTCGCCGAACGCCGAACTTTATGGGATGTTCGCGGTTTGTTCAACCGCAGACACTCCATAAGGCAAAATGCCCACTCTAGCTGTCACCGCTAGCTCTGCCCAATTGTTTATGTTTTGACGGCATCTGACAAAATGCCATTACGGGGCGGGGAGCGGATGGGACGGCGGGTTTTTAAAAAATGATTTCTCTTTATTTTTTATTGTTTTATTTTTTGTTTCGTCGTCGTCGTGGACAACGCTGGATACCGTGATTGACCCTGGATTACGTCGGTGGATCCATTTTTTTTATTTTTTATTTATTTATTGAAATAAAAGACTTGTCAAAAACATGTCTTTCGTTTTTTTCTGTATGACTTTAAGGGGGAACCCCACACACTTCTTTTTTTGTACATGGGGTCCCTCCTTAATATTCCTACCAGACCTTAAGGGCCTGGTATGACTTTTAGGAGGAACCCTACACAGCTTTTTTTTAAAAAATTGGTCCCTCCTGACATTTCTACCAGACCTAAAGGGTATTGTTTGGGAGGGGGAACTGCACACTTCAAGAGTTTTGCTGAGCAGGTTCTATACATCATACAGATTTGGCAGGTTAAGGGGACCTCCCTTTAAGAATGTTAAAATCACTGCTTCATGGGTGCAAAAATTGAAAAAAGGGCCTCAGTCATGAAGGGGTTAAAAACTGTATTTTTGTTTTTGGCATTGATTCCTGTCCCCCACGGCAGTCCCCGGACCCCCATACACCATTTATGGCCAATAACTTGCATATAAGCCCTCTTAAAGGGGATTGACTCCCATTGACTTGCATTGACTTTGAGTTTGTATTCGAACTATTCGGCCGTTCGAATGTTCGAATATGAACCAAACACGGGGGTGTTCGGCTCATCACTAATCGTGTGACATAAAAAGTTGCAACTGCCGCCATTTTATAATACAGGGTGATGGCTTTCAGAAAATATATACAGGGGATTATTCACAAAGCTCCCGAAGGCAGCCGAAGTGAAGCGAGCCGAACAACGTTCAGCTCAGTGGCGTAACAATCACCATAGCGACCCAGGCGGTCACTATGGGGCCTGGGGCACAGGGGTGGGAGGGCAGCCAGGACATCCCACTGATGCTGTGCGGGCCGCCTGGGTCGCTACGGCATCTCAGGCTGCTGGCTTGGCGATGGAGGAGGCAGGGCCCAGTGACGGAGGAGGCGGGGCCCGCAAGCGATCGTGGAGGAGAAGGAGGCGGACAGAGGATCGGAGCAGACAGGTAAGAGGGCTTGACCAGTCCACCTGAGACCCTGCAGAGCCCACCATAGAGTCTATGGTGGGCTCTGCAGGGTCACCCTCAGGTGGGCTTAACTAGAAATCACAGGGCCCCAAACAAAATTTTGCTATGGGGCCCTGTGATTCCTAGTAACTCCCCTGGTTCAGCTATTCACTACGGCTCAGTACGGCTGATTTTAGCCATACATCGGCTGCCTTCGGTTGCACTTTGGTCAGCCTAACATGCTCTCCATGTTTGGCTGAGCCGAAGTGCAGACGGACTTCAACTCAGCCGATCCAACATCTGCATCGGCTGAGCCGAAGCTCCGATAGGCAGCTCACTCGCTGCCGTTCGCCCCTATTCACATAGGGGGCCGAACGGCAGTAAGTGAATAGCCAAATGCTGCCGAGCGGGCATTCGGCTTGGCTATACTGCTCGGTACCTCATTGGTACCGAGCAGATTAGAATAAAGTCGAAAAAAAATTAAATAAAGGTAAACATTTTTTTTTTAATGTAAATAAATACTAAAATGAACAAATAAATAAAGATTGTTTAAAAAAGAAAAAAAAAAGTTAAAAAAAGCAATTGGGCGGAGCTTGGGTGACACCCCGTCGTGACATCATCGCGCATGCGTGGTCATCTTTTTGATACCTGCCGGCGGCCATCTTGGTGATGGAGGCCGGCAGAGAGAGGAGGGGACGTTCACCCGGCGGGATGAGGTATCCCCCCGGGTCCCCTCCTCTCTTGTACAGCTGTCGGGCTCTCTGTCCATGTTCGAGTGCCAGACTTTTCACAGGGGGTGACACCAAAATGACTGTGAGTAATTTTGGTGTCACCCCCCTCTGATGATGTCACCCGGTGCCGGCCGCACCCCCCTTTTGTGACACCACTGCATCTTACCAACGGTCACAGTGCGTGCGTAGTTTCTGAGTTGCTTTAAACCATTGGATCGTGATGGAACGCATCAAAAACGCATGCGAACGCATCGGAACGGAACGCACTGGAAGTCCCATTTGAAGCACACACAAAAAAGCCCCCGAAAAAACGCAATGCTTTCCAATAGGATTTCTGGTGCTCTGTCCACACCAACGCAGGCCGTTCCGGCGCAGTCAGGAACTGACAGTCCTTTTGGTGTCACCCCCCTCTGAAAACTCGGGCACTCTGTCATGGACCGAGAGCCCAACAGTGTCAGGAGAGAGGAGGGGACCCGGCGGCATACCTCATCCCACACGGTGAACGTTCCCTCCTCTCTCTGCTGGTAAGAGGTGTGCAGCCCACCTGAGACCCCCCGTCCTCTCCTCCTTCTCCC